GTATGATTTTTATGAATTACATAATTTAATTATATATTGTACATTTTGTAGGCTATACTTGATAGTGGTGGTATTTTCGTGGTTTCTGATATTGAAGAAGATGCTGGTAAAAAGTCAGATGATGATGATGATGATGGTAACAAGTCGGTTAGTAGTAGCAGTAGCAGCAGCAGTAGCAGCAGCGACAATGGTAACAGCAAAAATGATAGCAGTAGCAGCAGCAGCAACAGCACTTCCAGAAGTGTGAAAGACAATTTACAGGATCTACTTGCTCCTACTCCTGAACCTAAACAGCCTCCTGCCCCAACTCCACCTGCCCCAAAGAAAACACCTGCCCCAACTACACCTGCCCCAACTCCACCTGCCCCAACTGCAACTCCAAAACAGCAACCTCCTGCCCCAACTACAGTTTCCGAAGTATTATAATTATTTTATTTAATATTATAATAATTTTTATTTTATAACTAATTTACTTATAAAATTTTTAGACAACTAAATCTAGTGAAGTTTTGGAAATTGCCGATATTCAAAGTAAGGTTGTGCTGGCAACTTCAGAATTACAAAGTAAGGTTGCGCTAGCTAAAAAAAATGTTCAAAAGTTGTGCCTAAAGTACAAAGTACCCAAGAGAAAGCTACCGCGAAAAGTTCTGAAGTCTCATGTGAAACAAGAGTAATTATTAAAATTTACTATATAAACAATGATTATCTTTTTTTCAACTTTATTTACATTATACGATAAATGTCGAATAACTTTTTTTTTGACAAATATTTTTGATACTTTTCTAAAATTTTTTATTTGCTTTATTTTATACAACTTTTCAAAAGTAATTTAATTGATGAAAGACTTTGCATACTTACAGCAAAAAAAATTTTTTGAAGATATTTTGTTGTTTACTAAGTCTTTACTGGTTTATAATTTTCGAAGGTTTTCGAAATATTTTAAAAGTATATGAAGGTCTTTGTCTTCTTGAAATGTATTTTATGATATTTGAAACTTTTTTTGTTTGTTTACTTTTATTTAGTTTTTATATACGAAGGTTTTCGAAATATTTTAAAAGTATATGAAGGTCTTCAAGAAATATATTTTATGATATTTGAAACTTTTTTTGTTTGTTTACTTACTAAAACTTATTATGTTTTTAGGTCCTAATATGTAATTTATTAAAGTGAATATTATTTTTAAGTATAGAAGTTTTCTTTACGGCATAATTTAGTTATTTCTTGACTATTTTGAAGTTTCACATTTTTTTAATTTGTCAAATTGTAGAAAATTGCAGTACTCTATAATTTTCAGAAAAAGAATTACTTCGACAACTTTCAAAAAAAAGCTAAGAATTATTAATTTTTTTGTAAAATGTCGTAAAGTTTTATTAATTTATTTATTGTATATCATTTTTATAGCGTTTGATTGATTTTTAAAGTATATATGTATATTTGATTTATCTTTATTTTTACTATTTATTTTGCAAATCTATTAAATTTTCTATAGTTTTTTGAAATATTTTTAATTTTCTTAAATACTTCAATAATTATTAATTTTTTTATTTTTTATTTATTTATTAGGTTTTGTCAATTAACAAGTAGCTTCTTTTGACTTTTTGCATTAAACTTCGACTTTTTTCATATATTTTTTTTTTCCTTCAAATATTGTTGATTATATAAATTTTTAATTTGTTTCAAAAAAATTATATATTATGTAATTACTTAGCATATTGGCGGATTTTTGGATTTGCTGTTTATTTTGATGCACCCCAAAATTTTAGTTATACAATATGCAAATACGTCAGTCAGTTGATAGCCAATAAAAATTTAGAATAAAATTTATATTTATATCAGATATACATACAGTACATTACTAGTATTAACCTGTAATTACTCAAGTATAAAGTACTATCTGCTATAGTATTTATTGATTTCAACATTTTTTTAGCTATTAACCTTGAAACCCAACCGACTAGTGAAAAACAAAAGGCACAACTCTGTCAAAACCAAAATCCTTCTGATTAAAGCATAACCTAAAATTGAAAAGGACAAGAGTGAATGTTGACGAAACTTTGATCTCTAAAGGTGAGCATTTTTTTTAATTTTTTAACTACTTACAATTGCAAAGTATATATGTACTGTATTATACTTAAAATCTTTTTGCAACACTCTATTACAACATAATATTCCCGAATCTTTTAGTTAGTTATTTTTGATATTTTATTAGGCCTCGATCTCTTAGTTAGTTCACTATGGTAATTCGTAACCTAGTGATCAAAACTGAACAACTTATAACCATTGGATCTTTAATATTTGAACGAATAATATATAGATTGTTCAATTTTGTACACTAGGTTACCCATATTAATGTAAGCGATTTTAGTACAATACTATTCTTTATATTTGAATGCTGCCAATAAATTTTTAATAGCAGGCTCAAATTTTTTAATGTAATAAATTTAGATTTGCATGGTGGCACTGATTTTTTTAAAATAAAATGATATAAAAAAATCACAAAGTATAATTTTCCAAGTATAGAAGTGCTAATTTTATAGATTCAAAGTATCAATGTTAAAGTATTCTCAGGTATCGCATTTAAAAGACAGAAGTAATTGTCATTTTTGACAAGTCGGATTCGACCTTTGAAAACGAATAAATACCTTCCTTATATGCTCATCTTTTCCAACTTTGAGCCCATAATAATCAACTCTAAAAGCATAAACCATTTTGAAAGATTTTTGAAAATTGATAGCAAGTACTAGCATGAAACGTTCTATTAGAATTTCCCATGTCACCAGACTTTTTGTAAAAAATAAATAGCTCATGTTCATTCTTTTTAGCTTCGAATAGACCATTTGTATGAGATAACAAAAAAATAAACTAATCTTGATGTTCTCAGATATATAATCATAAATGATAGTATCATACTATTAGCTATTTTTCTCATTCTTCCAATATTTCTGGTCCAAGTCAAAGAACCATTGATTCGGATTTCACCTCATTTGCATTATGGAAAAAAAAATATTGTAAACCGAAGTCGAGTAAATATACATAATAAATAAACATGTCTTGATCTAAACTAGTAAATCTTCTATATCCACTCTTGTAAGATAACGTGTTAAATTAATGACTTTAAATTCGAAGGAATGAATATATTTATCATGATAGATAAAGAATCAAACTATACTTTTAATATAAAATGCTAAAAAAAAAAAAAAAATCAGAATCTTAAATAAATGAATCATATAATTTGAATTAGTAAAAATTACATATATATGAACAAATACTATAATGTATCACCTTTAATGCCCAGATCTTATTAAAAAGAAATTAGGTTATATGCTTTTAGGCATTTAACCAAGAGTAGATATATAAGCTGGAGTATTGGGATCCGCATATAATATCTAACTTATAATATTTAATTTCGGTCTTATGCAAAGAAGATAATAAAGAAAATACTAAAATTATTATTCACTATCCGATCTTAATAGTGATGAATACTCACCTACAACCAGTGTTGGCATTGGACATGTGTTCAATGATTTTTAAAATGATTGGATATATAAAATTTTATATGTTCAATATTTTTTTAAATTATTGGACATATGTCTAATGCCAACACTACCTACAACACTATTTAACATGAGAAATAGTGAATAACTAAACAACACTAATATTAAATTTTTTATTAGAGAAGAGATGGTTGGAAGCAGTGTTTAACATTAGATTTATCTTCTCAAAGGATTTATTTGATGTCCTCAAATAGAGTATAGTGTCTTAGAAAACACTAAGAATATCAAACCTTAAATGCTAGTAATATGGATTAAAAGATAAATCACAGTTGAGTATATCACAAAATATTGGAATTTTCCTTTTTGTAAACTATAGTTATGTCTTAAAAAAACTGCTATTATATTTATAAACACTAAACACTACACTATGATTTTATCTATGTACAAAAAGTAAATGCATTTATATTTTTGGCTAATACGATATATAGTTTAAACTAGCCGGGTAGAGAAGATGAGATGGCTAGTACTAGCACTAGTTTTTTTTTTTAAGTTAACTATATATTGTCATAATTGAATCGTACAAGAATGTGTAACAAATATAAAAAATTTTTTTTTCTAATTTATATACCATATCAGGCATATACAAGTTTTTAATTTGAAATACTGTAAAATATCAGAAAGCGTAACAAGAAAAAAAATTAAAGGAACGATAGATCATAGCTATCCATATAATAACTTAGTTTTTTGGAAAAGCAAAAATAGAAACTATAACTATACAATAATAAATTTAGGCGCATTTTCTTTAAAACCTAATCTTAAATATACACAACATCCAGGATTATATTCTATTCTAACAACTATAAAGTTGAAGCTTTTTGGAGACATAAAGAGAAAAATCATATTCAAGCATCTATTGATTATGTCAAAAGAATTCCAAATTTTACAATTGAATAGATGTATAACAAACAAGAATATGCTGTAGTTTCACAAACTTCGCCTTCGGATGCAACTAACAAATATTGTAATGTAAGGTTTATATGTAGATTTTATTATTTATATATATTAATTTATAAATTAATAAAATTTTTTAAGATTCAATATCCAGGAAGAAAAACCGTATTTTCTAGAATACTCGTATTTGGACTACAAATATATAAAGAGATAACTAAAACTATACTAAAGAAAAATTATCCACGATGTGTTAAACCTCTTAGTGATCTTAGCAATTATTCATATAGAAATAGAACTAAAAGAGTAGCAAAAAGTTTATTTAATGATTTTGAATCAAAAAAAAATAAAATTTGGAATCTGAAAAATAATTCTAAGTTTAAAGAAACAGTAATAGAGGCAGATAAACAGCCATGGTTAATAAAGTTTGATAAGGATCAACAATTAGAAAAAAATAAGGCACAAAAAATAGTTCAAACAATAAATCATTCAAATATTTTACGAAAAGGATATAGAGCACTGACAATCACTTCATATGATTTACTGAAAGAATGGTTAGTTAGTAGGGAAAAGCATAAGATTGACAAAATAATGCAAAAGTATATTCCATTATTAGAATTTGGCATAAAGACGCAAATGCAAGATGACAATTCAAATAATTTTAATGAATCTAATGATTCAGATGATTCGGACGAATTGGACGAATCAGATAATTTAGATAATGAAAAGGTTACAAATATATTAGAAAAGGGTAGCTACCGTAATATATCTACAATTCTTCAATTTCTTATACCAAGACTTGTTACAAAGCAAGTTCTTAATTATGAAACTCCTATAATATACTTGCAGATATCAGGTGATAGAAGAAATGTTGGAAGGAAAATAAAGCATATAATAGTGACATTAGCAGTTCTAAATGATCAAAAAAATATTATGAAACCTGAAAATCACTATACGATTTTTCTGATTTCTGGAACAGAAAAGTATACATCTCTTAAAACTGCTTTAGAACCAATTCGTTATGAATTGCAAATTTCGTGTAATTATAGTTTTACTGATAATTACCAATGACAATGGGATATTAAAGTTTTTTTTGTCAGATTGGAAATTTTTGACAATAATTTTAGGATTTAATGCACCTAATGCATTTAACTTCTGTCCTTGGTGTTTTTGTACAAAGGATTTGATAGGCGATTTAAGCCAAAATTGGCAAATAACAAAAGAAATGAGTCAAATTAAGGAAAATCATCAAAGTTATCTGGGTCATATTCATCCACCTATATTAGACATAATTTCTATGACCAATTATGTTGTAGACCAACTTCATTTAATGTTGCGATTAACTGATCGCCTGTAGGAACTGGCTTTAAATGAATGCAAGAATAACAGACACTTTGTAGACGAAATGAGAGATCTAATATGTAAAGAAATGAGAAACATCGGGGTAAAGTTTAATTTCTGGAAAGACAAAAAGACAAAATTTTGGAAATTTACTTCGTTAATGGGCCCAGATAAATTAAAAATCATAGAAAATTTTAATCTAAATATAATATTACCACAAATACGTGCTACTAAAGTTCAAAAACTCTGGTTAGGATTTTATAAGCTTTATAAAATATTAAGTCAAGATAAATTATCAGGAAAT